GACCAGTGACCTACACAGCTATGTTCTCATCCCGTCACAGAGCAGCCTTTAATAAAGCTGCTGTGTCTCAGCCACCTCTAATGCGATCACTTGGGGGAACAGCTCCTTCACTGTGCCACCGCTGGTTTCTTAAAGGAGCGTCAAGCCTTTTAACCATCTCACAAAACACAACACAAGGCAGTGCAATCCTCCCATAGTTATCCTATGATTTATTAAACGACATACACCAAGTGACAAGGATGGGCCTTTCGTGCCATTCCAGGAACGCTGGGCCAGGGTCTCGTCGACAGAGCAGATTCACTTCTCGGTGTCTTGGTTGGGACCTGGGTATAGGGCCCAGGAGTGACGCTACCCAAGGACAAGGATGAAGGAAGGCAGCATTGTCGTTGGAAGCACGTGCCTTTTAATCATCTACAGATCTCAACTGTAGAAAAGATACCTATGCTCTGTTAAAGGTCAGGAAAGATAATTTTTCTCTTTTGTATTCAACAGAGTGGTGCTCAAAATTAACTAAAAATAATACCCTGTCTTCATATGCTCTCTCCTTCCATAGATGGCTCCAATTTTCCTGTCAACTTGAATGCGAGATGGAAGAAGTAATGCTGGTGAATGAAATCAACACATCCTTATTTTAAGGGGTGAAACGAAGATGAGAGATGGAGTGTCACTCATTAAAGGTTTGATACTTTACTCTGTGGTCAAGTAGGGAGTTTCTATTTGTCCATCAAAACCTGTATCATTAGGGTAATAATGTAGGGCTGTCATGAAGGCCTTTTCAGCATCTGTACCCCATAAAATCTTGCTCTTTTTGGTCCATGATGTGGGCCAGGGAGCCACTAAAGCTCATCCTCTCCACACAGTGACTCAGGGCTCCAGGGCTCCTCTGGCTTGTGGATTCAGCTGGCAATGAGCACAGCTCAATGATGTAGAGGTCGGACAGAAGAGTGGTGTGAGGATGGCCTGGGAGGAGCCACTCATGGCTGTCCTTGCCTCTGGCCAGACCTGACTCACTCGGTGAGAGAGGCTCAGAAATGCAGAACAGCACAAACTCCTTGCTACTTGGCACAGAGGACAGCACACTCACCCTCTTGTTCCTTTACCTGTGCAGCCAGCCAACTCAGTCACCTTCAGGAAGAACATCCAGAAAGAATAATAAAATAAAAGTACCTCATGCCAATCCACATAGCACTTCAAAGTACTAAGAGTAAAAAAACTCACTGTCCATGCATTTCTACAGAAAGCCTACTTGC